CACTGTCTCTCTCAATCACACACACACACACACACACACACACACACACACACACACACACACACACACACCACTTTTATCACTCTTGTTCCTCTAGAGAACCCTGATTAATTCACAGCCTCATAACAGTATTAGTAGGGGAAGAACAGAGAAAATAAGCAAGTAAAATTAATAAATTTGTCACTGTCTCCTAAGTTTTTGGCTGTAGCCTAGAGGATAAACGATGGTATGCAGTCACAGTTCATTATAAAGGGGAGATTTGAAATAATATCATTGAATTGTTATTGTTATTTATTGGCAGTAATGGGATCAAACCTAGGACCTGATGTATGCCAGGTAAGGACTCTGCCACTGAGCTACAGCCTTATCTCTGTGCCTTGCTTTTATTTCTTTCTTTTACATCCTCCCTTCTTTCTTCACAGTCCTGCCCTCCCTCTGTTCCCAACTCCTAGCCCCCTCCTCCTCCACTGTTGTTTGGTAAGGACAGGTCTCTGATGGAAATCAACAAAATATGGCATATCAAGTTGCAGTAAGCATCTTCCCCTGTATTAAGGCTGGCCAAGGTGACCCAGTATGAGAAATAGGGTCCCAAAAGCCAGTAAAAGAGTCAGAGGCAGTTCCTGCTCCCACTGTTAGGAGTCCCACAAGAAGACCAAGCTACATAACTGTAACATATATGCAGAGGGCCTAGCTCAGTCTCATGCAGGCTCCCTGGCTGTCGGTTCAGTTTCTGTGAACCCTTATGAGCCCACATCAGTTGTTCTGTGGGTTTTCTTGTGGTGTCCTTGACATCTCTGGCTCCTATAATCCCTTCCTAGCAGGATTCTTCAGCAGGATTCCCTGAGCTCTGCCTAATGTCTGGTTGTGGTCTGCATTTGTTCCCATCAGTTGCTGGATGAACTAGGCTTTGCTTTTTTTTTTTTTTGTTTTTGTTTTTGTTTTTTGTTTTTCCAAGACAGGGTTTCTCTGTGTAGCTTTGCGCCTTTCCTGGAACTCACTTGGTAGCCCAGGCTGGCCTCGAACTCACAGAGATCCACCTGGCTCTGCCTCCTGAGTGCTGGGATTAAAGGTGTGCGCCACCACCGTCCGGCTTAGGCTTCGCTTTTTAAAGAGTCACTACCCAGTTTTATTTTTGGGAGGACAGACGTCGTTCTACAGCCCCTCTCAGCTGTCTCCTGTGAAATAGGTCATAAACCCCATGAAGCAGGATTGGAAAACCTCATGTGAGCCCTGTATCCTGATGAAAGAAGAGGCCCTCGTGTGAGCTGTGGACCCTTTTTATTCTGATGGAAAAAGCACTGTCATCTTTCAGACAAAGGGACAGAGGAGAAGACTGAACAGAGCAGCCAGAGGGCTTTGCTCATCAGCATTGGCTTACACTCCACCACCACCTAACAGCCTCATCAAACCTGCTCCACAGAACTCCACGCAGGCTGATCTGTTAGGGTCTTCATTTCCTTAAAATGGCTCCTGTGTCATATGAAATGTATTACATCTATATGCATCTCTGTTACTATCTCTCTTATTAGGGTGGTCTCAGTCACAAACTCAGAAGGAGTAGAGGAAATGATATTTTTCCAATTTTATACTATATGCTCAAAGATAGGAGGAATGTTATGAAAGAAGAGAAATCAGAAAACCTACAAAACAAAAAAAATGCTTATTTTGTGTGTGTGTGTGTGTGTGTGTGTGTGTGTGTGTGTGTGTGTGTGTGTGTCTTGTATGCCTGTGGACATCTATATGTAGATAACAGAGGACGACCTCTGGTATCCTGCTTGCCATTCCTTGTCCATTATCTTGAGCAGGAATATTCTCCATATTCTCACTGAATATGGAGCTGAGGTGGCAACGAGCAAACCCAGTGATCTCCCATCTCCACCTGCCATAGTGATGGGGTTACAGGCACGTGACATCATACCCAGGTTTTAGGTGAGTGCCAAGGATTTGAACTCAGGTCCTCAGGATTACACAGCAAACACTATCATCTATGGATCCTGAAGTCTGAAAGCAGGAGTAACACAGTCTGGCACTGAAGACTGCTCATGCCACTACAAAAGAAGTACTGTGGCCCATGCGAACAGTGACAACGTTGGCTTCACCCAGAGCTTTCTAATTGGTCATATTATTATCTCTGACTGTTGAGCACTGAAATACTTGTGGAGAAGCATACAGGCTCAATATGTGACAAGTTCTTAATCCCTTAAGGCCATCATCTCTCATAGAAACTCATTTCACATCTCATCAGCTGCAAGCATGGACTGGGGAAACCGCCTTTAATGTAGCAGAGGTAAGAATACACATACAGAACTAATAGAATAAAAGGCTTACACTTCCTCCTAATGAGATGAATGAACAGAGTTTGAACAACTATGCCTGTTTCTGGAACCAGAAGAAGCTCTCTGCCATTGCCCACAGTGCACCTGACGACGGCCATCAGGACACATCAGGGTATGTACGCAGCTGGAGGGGAAGCTGACAGGCATGTTTGTTTCAGGTGTGCAGTCACTGAGTGACTGATGCTGTGGAGGGCTTTTGTCCTGAGCTTGGCAGGGTCATTTCATACAGGACTCTGCAGAGCCCCAGCTGTAAAGATATTATGACACGTGTTTGAATGAGAGGCTATCCACTGCATGCTCAAAAGAACGCTGGCGTTTTATACCTCACAACCAAACAAAGGGAGCAAGGCTTTCCTCTTTCTCTATTAATTGTGAGAAGCAGCTCGAGGCTGGCTGTTACGCCGAACAATAGAGAAACTGATGAAAGAAAGGTGCCTAGATGCTTCCGATTACACAGACCCAACTGTCTGTGATGCCGCATTCATTCTGGGAATTTCCAGAATAAGGAATGGGGGGCGGTAGTCAGGGCTGAAACCTCTTCCCCCAGAGTCAGGATAAAAGGAAAAAGGGAAGCAGTCCACAAATGCATCAAAGCCAGGCCTGTGCACTGTTGCTCACTATCACTGCACCGTACATCTTGCCAATTCCTAGATTATTTTAGCTCCCACCAATTACTGAACCCTACATTTATCCTTTTTGGTAAACATCACAAAACTGACATTCTGAGACTGAAGGACAACCTCCAATCTAGGGTTCATCAGTTGAAACACAAATAAAACATAATGAACAGGGGCGATAGCACTCTGTTGTTATGAGAACAGCTTTTATTTTTCCCTTGAAAACAGTGGGGGTGGAGCCAACTATTCTTAAGACTAAGAAAATACTTTCTGTGTGGGTGTAAATGGTAAGTTCCGCTTCTCTAAGTTGAGTTTAGCCACTGTGCTCAGTTTTTCCCCTCCCCCTCCAGAAGTTACCTAAAATTTAGTGTTTCATTGCTTTCAGGACAGAAAATCACCATAACAACAACCACTGCAGAAGTACCTGCCTGAAAGCTAGTGTTTTATCTTTTGTTTGTTTGTTTGTTTTGATCAAGGTCTGGAACTCATTATACAGCCTACACTGATCTCCAATTTGCAGAAATTCTCCTGCCTCTGCCTTCCAAATGCTGAGATTATGAACTTAATGCCCAGCTCCTAAACCTGCAATTCCAAATCTGCAAGTCTTATTCTGAGAGACTGTCTATGTATTCCTTTGCTCTCGTGGGTTTTGGACTCAGGTCCTCATGATTAGCCATTGTCTTAGTTAGGGTTCTTATTGCTGCGAAGAGACAATACGACCACGGTGACTCTTATAAAGGAAAACATTAAATTGAGGTGGCTCACATTTTCAGAGGTTCAGTCCATTGTCATCATTGTGGGAAGCATGGCAGATGGGAGTTTGGTGGTGTGCAGGCAGACGTGGTGCTGGCTACCTCTTGACGTGCAGGCAACAGGAAGTGGGCTAAAATACTCGAGCATGTATGAGACCTCAAAGCCTGCCTCCAAAGTGACACACCCCCTCCAACAAGGCCATTCCTGCTGCTCAGAGCCACACCTCCTAATAGTGCCACTCCCTGTGAGCTGTGGGGGCCAATTACCTTTAAACTACCACAGCCACCAAGTACTACTGCCCGTAAAACACCTCCTTAGCACCCGAAGCTGCCCAATGGCAACATCTGCTTCACATGTTAGGATTTGTAAATGAGTTTGCAGGGATGCTCCATCTCCTTTCACTCTGTCAGCCTTGGACCACTACCTCTGAATACAACAGAAAGTGCTTCCCTACACAGCATGACTGGCAAGCTGCTTGGTGAGCTAATGCGTTCTCACTGTTACAAACATTGCTTTCTTTTAATTTGTATCCTCTGATTTTGATCTTTAAATTTACTAACAATCCAAGAGCTAAATCTCCAGGTAGCAGTGAATACTATTTAGGAAAATAAGCATTTCCAGAAAAACAAATGAAAGCTGCTTCAACATTTAGAGAATGAAAAGGTCTCTGACAATTTACATTTATTACTCTGCTTTTTTCCTACAAGTATGATTCCACTGAATGAAAATTTGGCCCTTAGTATTTTCTTGCAGTCATCTAGATTTATCAGTTGTAGCCTGTAAATAAACACCAAATTTCTTTACAAGTCTCTATCAATACACGAAGTTATATAATCTAAGTTGTCTACCCACATGGCGTACTGGGAAGGTTGAAACTAGGAATCCCGTCTTCAGGATGGAATTAACCCTTGAGCCAAGGTACTTAGCTTAAATAGAATTTTAGCTCCCAACCACACCTTTGACTGGATGAACAACTGACCAACCATATTTCTTTCTACAAATTTCATTATTTTTATTTTACATATATGAGCATTTTGTCTGCATGTATGTATGTGCATCATACATGTGCAGTGCCTGTGGGGGCCAAAAGAGGGCGTTGGATCCTCTGGAACTAGTGTTAGATATAGATGAACCTTTGTAAGGCCAGCAAGTGCTCTTAATCATTAAGCTTTCCCTTCAGCCCCTTGAGCACCCATGTTAAGTGACACCATCATCTCCCATGACCTCACAGATGCAGGAGGATGTGGATAGAATAGCTGTATACAGCCCTGGCATGACATTGGAGAGGACATACCTCGTGGTACTTTTTCACCGTCTTCCCCGAGCTGCAGGTGCAGGACTTCCAGTTGACAGTTCCACAACCGCAGTTGCCCCCACAGCGCTGCACAAGAAGGCATCTTGGGAAGAAGACCGCATTGGTCAGCTTTAACTCCTCCCTGAGATTGACCGAGTGATTCCTGGGAGTGCAACTGTAACGCTTGACATCATCGTTGAGCCTGTCCAGGTCCACTGTGGGCAAAGACACACAGGCAGCCAGCACATGAGCAGACAGAAGCATAAGCAAAGATTCTGATCTGAGATAAACCTAACGCAGGTGTTAAATTTGTCCTTGGGATCTTACTGTGGTTGGAAAAATCCAGTTTCTCTTTTGATCCTATATGACCTTCAAAATAACAACAAAATCATTACCTGAAATTTTAATCTTGGCTCAATTTCATATAACCTGTGCATGTGCAACTTTTTGAGACAGGTTTCATGTAGCCCAGCTTGCCCTGAATTTGCTACCTAGCTGAAAATGACAACTCCTGACTCACTTGCCTCCTGTGTGCTGGGATTACAGACATGTGCCACAAGGCCTTGCCTTGGTACCTTAAAAAATGATGCAAAAAGAAAAAAAGAAATAAACACAAAATGGCTCAGAGGTAAGAAAATGAAACATTTGGCAATTTAAAATAATTGCTTTTTATCTTTGTCTTAAGAAACAAACACACCCCAAATCCAGCCGTTACTTAGATATAATCTGAATCATATAGGGAGAACATTAAGAGATTTGCTCTAACGTTGTCTAATGATTTCTGATGCTGAAGTGTTTACATATAAACAATACAAAGAAAAAGGTTTAATTTTTTATTTTTATTCCAAAGCCAATCAAAGTACTAGTGAGAATGGTATGGTAAGGCAAACAGGGTGCATGTGTGTGCATCGAACCCTAGGTGGGCAAACGGGCTGCATGTGTGTGCATCAAGTCCTAGGTGGGGCAAACAGGGTGCATGTGTGTGCATCTAACCCAAGGTGGGGCAAATAGGGTGCATGTGTGTGGATTGAACCCTAGGTGGGGCAAACGGGCTGCATGCGTGTGCATTGAATCCTAGGTGGCAGTAGTGTCTTGCTCTTTAGTGAGAATGTGATTTTCATCTTATGTCTCCTTTCAGTGGGAAGTTGTTTAACAGCTTGGAGCCGCTGTTTTCTCCTCTAAAGCACTTAACTATTTAGAAGGTTGAACAGAGTGGACCTGTTGTATGATGAATGCTGGTTAATATTCTCTATTCACGTGATTCTCTCCACCTGTATTTTTCCCCTTTAAAAATCAATGGTTAAAATAAGGAAAGAAAATGCCAGGTTTTCTCCTCTCTACTTCTCTCTTTATAAATAATTATTGAATATGCTGAATGGGGATTTCTATAAATTAAGAATGTTACACTAAACTCAAATCTAAGTCATTGTGATGGTCGGTGTTGTAGGCAGTCAGATTTCCAGGCACTCTTATGTGGTTAATTGATAAGGTAAGATTCATCTTAAATGGGGTGGAAACACTCCTTGAGCAGGGATCCTGAACACATCAAATGAAAAATGTGTTGTGAAGTTGGCATTGGTTGTTTCTTGACTCTTATCTATTGGTGCAGTGCGAGCGGCTGCCTCCTCAAGCTCCTCCTACTGGGGCTCCCCACAGTGATGGACTATAAGGTCAACCCCAGAGCCAAAGCAAAGCCTTCTTTCCTACATTGCTTGGTGTTTGGGTATTTTCTATAGCACCAGAACAGAAAACGAGACAACTATAAATATTTACTTGTATGATTGCTGCATGACTTACATTTTAAAAGGTATTCTCAAAATCTACATCTGAATTCTCTGATGGAGGCACACCAAGTAAACGACTGTACAATCACAGAAGAACATCCTGCATGTGCCCTTGGCACCCTACCCACCCTGTGCACCAGCCAGGGTACCGCAGAGAACATCACAGGTGCTGGCCAGGCAATGCCATCCTCACCAGCACTCTAGCTTCTCCAAAAGCCTTCGTCTTAACACAAAACTGTTTGAGAAGCAGGAAGGAGTGATCTCTGGGGCAAGGACCAAAAGCCAAGGGTGATAGTAAAATGGTTCTGAGAGAAAGAAAATTAAGAGAACACATAGACATGGGCTAAGAGTCCATTAACTCCATACAGTCACAAAACTTCACTGAGTAAGACTGAGTGGCCATCTGGTCAGGTGACCCTTGTATGGGAGTTAAGTGGCACCTGGATTGATGGGCTGCCCTGAATACCTTTTCAGATAGACAGCTGTGCTTTGATTCTCAAGGGCAGCAGTTTATTCCTAGCTGTTATATGCTGAGCCCAGGACACTGTGGGGACTCAATAAATGCTAAATAATCACTGTACATAATTTATTGCTGTTTTTTCTTCCTTTGTAAAGACATGTCATAAGTTTAGCTATAATCAATCCAGCTTTAAATTGAATGAACTCTGTCTTGGGAAAGGGACCACTTTTATTGCCACTAAAGCCCTGCCAACCACTGCAAGCCAAGGAGGAGGGACTGCATAAACGGATTAAGAAGTGCAGCAGTCAGCTATTACAAGTGTCACCTTGAGATAAATACTCATGCTGGCCTGTGCATTATTGGGCTGGTAGACCAGGCTGAGGTAGAGGGCCAAATCTGCTGCCAGTAATTATGACAATGCATTTGTCCACCAGAAGAGAAGAGAGATGAAATTAACATGGGGGTGGGTGGGTTCATAATGCCCACAAAGGTAAAGACAGGGAATATCCACACTGAGCTGTTTCTTTACTGCAGCCTTGTGCTAAGCAACTTCTACACATGACTACATTTCTTTGCTCCCCACTTTTTTAAGGAGAATAATGGAAGTGAAGAGGACATGGTAAAGCTTCTTTTGGTCCATAGCCTCTTTCCCAACAAGCAGATAGAGAGAAACCACTGGTGGAAGGAAGAAAACCAACATCACTGGACCGGCATCAGCCTTTTTGGAAGAATGAACCCTCACGTGCAGGGGTTCTAAGCCACTTTGCAGAATCCTTTCTCCATTAGGTTCCTTCTACAATCTAGGTAAAGCACACAAGTCTAGTTCCCCTTGGAAAGACACCATCATGCTGCAGAAATGTTTCTATGGCCAAGCACTTCTCACTTCCACTCTCACAGGAAGAGATTTACAAGGCTGTCAGTTTAAGGCATCAATCACTGGGTGGCAGCTGTCACCAGGGGATGGAGACCGCAGAGGTACTCAGCTTAGAATGACAATGAACAGGTTCTTCTGACTGGATGCAAATAATGTGAAAGTTTGATCACAGGCATTCTGCATCATATACTGAGTTTGCAGTCAGAGAAGACTCGGTGCAAAGTAGTACACAGAGTGAGAACACAAGGCTTTCCATCTCTGTGACTGAACAGCAAAGGAGTAGGAAGGATATCCCAAGCTTATGCAAGTGTTCATCACTTTCATCTAATTGCCTTTATCTCACCCAAGTGGACATGGTATTACAATGCTAATTTTGCTTTCCCTTCTAATTTGACTCTCCATTTTTTTAAATGACTCTTTAACCTCAGTTAAGGCCTGGCTACTCTGTACTGACAGTTTTCTAGAAATGGTAAGAAGGTCCCAAGATGCGAAGCTACTTCTGGACACAGTGATTCAGAGTAGAATGCCGCCCATGGGTAAAGGTTAGGAAGTACCTCCCTGCTACAGCCTCAGCCTGGAAGTGCAACCCAAGCGCAGGTTCCTCGAGCTGTGGTAAGAGTTCTGTCTCTAAGCTAGGGTGGGGATATGAATGGACATCTCTGTCCTATTTCTAATAGATGAGGGCTTAGGTGGGGGGGAGATGCAGCCATCTTGTCTCTGTCTATTAGATTACTAGTACCAGAAATTGTATCACATTCTCATACATGATTGCATGAAACCTTCATACAAACTATGTATAAACATGAGCTTACTTTCATGGTGGAGAAGATAGAATCTTTGAAAAATTAAGAAAAGACAAAAACAAAACCTAAACATCTCTAGTTCCTCTTCCAGTGACCTGTAAGGTTTAAGGAAGCAGACTAATCATCATTATTTATCCTCTAGACTGTGTAGGTCCTGATGGGAGAAGCAGACACAGCTCATTTAAGATTTTCTTCTAAAACCACACGATATCCTCTAGTGCAGGGTAGAGCCAAAGAAAATACACCTTGTCTTTATGCCAGATTGTTTTTACTAAAAACTGATATTCAATAACAACTACGTGAGTTAATCGAAGAAATTATTCATATTCTTTTAAGCATATTTTTTCCAGTCATACACAGAGGGAGAAATAATTTGAATCAGATTACTGTCTCATATCCTGGGAAACTCTTATCTCTAACCTGGTCTGAAAGATGAAAAATCAGAGCTGAGAAATCAGAGCTGTAGAATCAACTGTTCCTTGGAGACAGCTGCATGAAGAGCCATGGCACCTAGAGCCTGGCTTCAAGAAGGCTGCCTCTCAGATGCCCACCTGTAGTGTTGAGGAACATGGCCCTTGCTTAATGTGGACTATGACAGCAAGCTGGTAGGAAGAGCTAAGTAGCAGACATGGACGCTGTGGTGTGGACTTACAGCCCTGGGGTGAGGGTGGGAGGTGAGAGAACAAATGAATAATTGGATTTTTATAACAAGCAACCAGGGCCTCTCAGCTTTTTTCAAGGTTCATAAATTCCTCAGGAGGAGTCTATCCACTTCATGGGCTTTACAACCTCACTGTGATTTTTCAGGTCCCCTCTTCTATAAATCATGCCCTAATTGTGCAAACTATTTTTATAGATCAATTAAAAATTGGGAAAGAACCTCACAATTATTTCATGATTTTTAGAAGAAATTAAGATCTTTTAAACTTAAAACCATAAAATGTTTTAAGTTTCATAATTTTTTTTTGTAGGCTGAATATCCTAAAAATTAGAAGCATTTACCATTGTAGATACAAAAATTAACCTACCACACAATAATTGTCACCAGTCTGTTCCTGATTTCTAAGGTTCAAAAACGTCATGAAGCAATGTGGGAAGTTTCTGAGCCCCTGCACACTTGTATTGGTTTCTTGCACACATGTGTACTGGTTTCAAGACAAGCCTTTTCTTTGCATGTTACTATCTCCAGTTTCTAGATGCCAAGACGCAGACACAAAGGAACTTGTCTACAAATAGTAGTCATCCAAGATGTTCTACCAAATGACTATAGATAACAAGATGTCTGAAAGGAATT